TTTTTATATTTTGTTAACGAGGTAATTTTGTTAACGATTAAAAATATCCAAAACTGTGCTTATGTGTGTGAATTATGATGTATTGTAAATTGAAATTGTAATTGTAAAAGTAAAGTGATAATAAATATATTATGATAAAAAAAAAAAAAAAAAAAAAAAAAAAAAGCTTATGATGTCTGTTTTAGGGGCATAATATGTTAATAAACATTATGGTAATTCCTTCTTAATCCAAAGAAACACCTCAATATCAAGACTTTAAGTCTTATTGAAAGGCGACAAATTCAGTAGTTTGGGGAAAATTTAGGACCTTTTACTTGTACATTTATATACTGTGGTTAATATTAAGAAGTGATGACTCGACAGCAACTCAAATGCCTTGAAGATTTGGTTTGTTGGTTTCAGTAGGGATACATCACAGGACTTTGTTTGGATTTGTGTTAGATGTCATATTCTTTCTCACATCTTTGCAGGGTAAGGTAAAATATCAAATCTGATTTTCTTTGGAGAAATGATTTTTTGATTGATCAATGTATCAATGGCATGGTCTCTGTTGTAACCAGTAAGCCTGTACCAAATCTTCAAGGGATTCGAGCTTCCACTGAGCTTTGTCACTTCTCTGAAAATGTTCATGCCCTGAAAGTACACAATGTAGAAGATAGGAAGAGCAATGAGAAACACTTAAGGTAATTCTGTATGTTCAGAAATTTTAAGTGGAGTCCAATGTTATTTCTGGAACTCATTCCATACTTGGTCAGCTCTTTCAATTTTACACCGAGTTCAAATATGTATTTAGATTATTAGATGATGGTTAGTAATTTTCTATAATGTACTATGTGCTATGTTTATACACTGTTTGTGCATCTGAATGGAATGAGTTATGTGTTCCTGAAAAAAACACGGGGCTCCAATTAGGAAGCCATTAAAACTGAAAATAAGGAATTACCTTAAAGTACTATATAACCATCTTTCACGATGTAACGTATGTAAGGCCGAACAGGATAATTAAGACAACGTGTAATACAATTTATTACAAATTGCACATCACACAACAATGATATGGTGCTCTAAACGACAAAAATCAAAAGTATATGATCAAAGCAAACGTGAATTTCCCATGGAGTTCAGGTCTAAACATTTGGTACATGTAAATGTATGGGTTCCTAGTATTAAGAACGTATTAATGTCCTCCTAAAATGTTTAAAAACTAAATATAAGATTAATGTTGATCTATTGAAAATAGGAGAAAATTCGCAGAAAATCACAAATTTTTGGTTGAAGCATGAATTAATTTCTCATGGGGCCAGGGTCTCAAAATTTGGTGCATATTTGGGGTATGGGTTCCTCGTATTATGAAGTAATAAAGAGTCCTCCCAAAATATTTATTATAAAAAATAGAAACATATAATACCAGGAAAATAGAGATGTACTGTATTGTATATGAAATAACCCAATTTTTCAGTCGAAGCGTGGGTAAATTTCCCATGGGATTTGGGTCTCAAAATTTGATGTATGGGTTCCTAAGTATTATGAATTAATAAAGAGTCATCCAAAAATATTTATTATGAAAAGACATCTACCATTTTATACCAGGAAAATGGAGATGGGAATTTATCGAAAATAGCAAAAAATCATGAAATAACCGAATTTTTCAGTCGAAGCGTGGGTAAATTTCCCATGGGATTTGGGTCTCAACATTTGTTGTATGGGTTCCTAGTATTATGAAGTAATAAAGAGTCCTACAAAAATGTTTATTATGAAAAAATAGAAACATATTATACCAGGAAAAGGGAGATGACAATTTATCGAAAATAGCAAAAAATCATAAATAACCGAATTTTCAGTCGAAGCGTGGGTAAATTTCCCATGTGATTTGGGTCTTAAAATTTGGTGTGCAGGTGTTTTAGGTCATGGACAACAGTAAGTGAAATGAGGAAGATGATCTGAAACAAAGTTGGTTTTTCGCCATATTTTGGACCACCCTAATAAATAGCCGTTCAAATCCAGTGTTTGTTTAGACTACACCATCACACTACCCTACCTCGATAGCGCATGCGCGAATTTTTTGGCTTTCAATCAGGTCGCTTTTGAGTATATCGACTGCTTAGTGAAAAGGTTAATACGTTTGGTGCTCGGAGTGAGTCAATATTGCTATTCGCTGAACTTCAGTGGTGCAATAGTGAAGTCCATGTTCCAAGTTATATGATAGTTGAAGAAATACTGTAAAAAATATCGTTTTAAATTTTAAAATATTTGATATGTCATAGTACACGGTACACAGCTGCAAAAGTTGATCAATACAGGGTACAAGGAATGTAAATTGTTCAATAGTACAGGGAGCGAGAAAGTAAGCTGATTATACTGACATACTATGTCCCGATCTCATGTATATTTACGTTGCAAACAGTGAAAATAATACTAAAAAGGCCGCCTGTTGATGCTTTGAGGTGTCATCAATTGTTATTTAATCCAAATAAAGTAAACATTATTTAGTTAATTTAAGACATGGGCTTTCAGGTCGTAAATGCATTTTAGTCATTAAATTAACAAGAACGCTAGATTATACGTGTTACTAGGGTATCAAATTGAAATAAAATAACGAAATTAAATATAATATATATCAGGATTAATGACTATCCGCTATTCAGAATAATTAAAATTGCGTGAACTACATGTAAAGAATCTTTGTATATAACCCCTTGAATGGTCTAATTCACTACCGTCCTCAAAAACCGATCATTTAAAATAGTTTGTTCAAAATACCATCATGCCACGACATTTTGTTCTTCACGATTTGCTGTAGAGGTGATATGACGTCGTATTTCTCTATTATTGTAAAAAAAACTAATACCAGATCGATGTAGTCTTATATGACGTGTTGAATGTCAGATGTTTTTGGATGGTATCTGCTCCAGTGATTTTACATTTAATCATGAAACGCTCATCACAAGACACCTCGAAACAAACATTATCCTCCTTGTGACAAGAGGAAAAATGTTTCACAATATGTTATGCCTTACGGCAAAGTAAAGATACATTTCTGGGACGACTATTTTGCATCTTAAGATTTTAGAAAGACAATTAATTCACAAAAGTACAGTTGAATAACATACTGGAAAACGTATCCACATATAACACGATGACAAGCAGTTTAAATAACAGTTTACTGGGGTTTTGTTACATATCAATGTAACATTTTCGAAGGGAAACTTACATGCTCCCTGTACGTTGACAGATTTACTGAAATGTATCGTGTATTGCATTAAGTTTTGCTTCACTGCGCCCACTATTATCTATCTTTGCCTATAGTGGTTTTTTGCCAACAATATTCTACAAACTGCTTGATGAATTAATTCTATGTCTGGTAGAACACTAAAAATAAATGTAAAATGTATTTTACGTTCAGAAATATGGAATTAAACCCACGTCCTCCATTTGCAACTTAGCTGTACCCTGTCTCCCTTTTAAACGTGGTCACGTGGTAGGGTAGTGTGACCATAGCGTGTAATGATTCTATAGCATGTCATTGATGCGGTTTTATAGCTGGTTTTCTAATACATATTTTAAACGAGCTCGTTTCGTAAGATTTTTGGTGCTAAATCATGCATTACATACATCATCGTTCACGTTTAGGTTGTGAAAAACATTGCGAGCTGAAACTCCCGAATTTCAGTTTCTCAATAATGAGGGGTTAATTAGCAACAGAATTTTTGTCAAAAATAAAAATGTTTTTTCTTTTGGTTAACGTCACATTCTAGAAAACTGAATGAAGTCAATTTATTACAATTGAATGTTTGCCCAATGTACTAGGAACGTGATGAGTGTATTGGGAGGTGTTGAAACACTAACTACAAAACATTCACGGACTATCAAAAAACTACACCAACCTGCTTTCTGAACGAAAATACTCTCTCCGCGATTCCGCCCCCTGGTATTTTTACATCTAGTTGTTATTGGTTAATATTATTGAATATATTGAATATTATGACCTGTCACATCCTTGTCCTTGTACGTGTTGTATTAAACAAATACTGGATGATCAGGAGCTGGATATGGCAGAATACCTATTCGAGAAAAAATATTGGGCGAGGCGGCAGCAATATACTAGCATTTGTATTGTATTTGTATATTGTATTCATAATTATATTATATTATTGTATTGACCTAAACGTGAACGGAAAATATTTAAACTCCTAATATCTAATACGTTTATCATGTTTATTGTCATAGCCTGTATAGCGATTTTGTTGAATGCCGTTGAGGCTACGTCAGCAAATTTTGGGCACAAGTGACTCCCTTTACAGATTAAATTCATATTTGGTAATTCCAAATAAAATGTGCATGTAAGGTTTATTATTGTTATCTCTTTACATACAGTAGGCCTATATATAGTTTATAAATAGATATTAATAATCTGTTTGTTGTCTTCACGTGCACACACTCTACTACTGCATACTGAGAGTAACAATCTTCATCATTAATTCTTATTAATTCTTCTCCATTTTTACAATCTATTCATTTTCATTGCTATCGGTAATATTGGTAATGTAGTGGGATAATTTTAATTATCCTACACTTAGTGTACTAAATGTATAATAACATTAAAAAATAAATTTGATATTTATTGGAAAAATGAATAACCGGAGGATATCGTAACGATATACTCCGGGCGGAGGATATCGTGACGATATACTCCGGAAAACCCAATATGCGGAGGAAATTGTGACGATATACTCCGCTTGTTGATTTCCCGCCAAATTGACTCTATTTGGCATGAAATTCATTTTGCAATGATATTATACATTTAGTACACTCCTTGTAAGTGTAGGATAATAAGAACATCCTATGATTTTTTCAGAATATTATTTTAATCTACTCGGTGATATCGATATATGCACTCGTTCGCTTTGCTCTCTCGTGCAGATATCAATATCACCTCGTAGATAAAAATGATATTCCTCAAAATCATAGGATATCCTATGAATATCACAATTGAGCAAGGTGTAGTTTTAACAAAAAGTCATTTGGGATGAATTGAAAGTGTATTTATAGATTAGTTTGCGATTGATTTTGGAAAACCAATTGCTTGGATTTTGTTACATATCAATGTTAAAATTAGTCACATAGGCCTATCATTAACTTTTTTGTAAGTGTGCTTTGAATAGAATGTTAATCAAAAGATGGCAGTGTTTCCTAGGATAACAAATCAGCTCTATTCACTCCTGCCACCTTTATTTTATTCTAAAAAAGATGTACTTTTTGTAAACTCTATCGAAAGACAAAGCCGAATATATATTGTTAGCAAAACTTGATATCATATTCCCATCTGCAATGCTTCGCAAAAAGTGTGTCAAACTTATTTTTATTTACAAATGAATGGATCGGACACAAAGAGAATAAATTGAGTGTCCCAAAAAGGTGAACTAGTTTCTGACAAGTATTTTCTCAGCAATTTAAACAAAATTCATTGAAAAGTACAAAGTGGCCTACGTTTACAGGATAATTTTATATTCCAAAATGTTATAACGTGCGTAACCGTACATTTATTGCTAAACATTCGTGCAAGCTGGGAAAAGTTTTGACTGGTCAAAATGCAGTGTTACAATTCATTACTACATGTATACAAGCGAGCGTGGGTAATTAGCGGGAACGTCTGTATGGAAAATATGCCATAAATAATGTTATCATTAATGTGTAACCCGGTAGGTGCTTATATACACGTCTTGGCCCTCACACACCATTTCTTTATGAATTCAATTATTCTTAAAAATATTTTTAAAATGTTTTGCTAGTTGAGCACATTTTGAGCAGTACAGTACTGCCGTCCATGTTTATAGCTTCATACAAGAACATCGTATACAAAGCACCCACAAATCATTAGCTCTAGGAATTGGAGATCATTCAACATTATATTGATATTCGCGTTCCCAGTACATCAGGAGAATATTCGATTGGTAAAAATTGACACTCAAAACTCTAGCTTTTCAAGAATGTGGCGTTAATCACAGGAATATTGTCCAAAATTAAAATATTTCTTGGTTGACCCCACGTTCTAGAAAAACTGAATACATGGCTGTCAATTATAACAACAGAACGTCTTACCGATATGCATTTCTCTTCTCGTTCCCACCCCTAATGTTTTGAGAACCCGACACACTTTTTGATATGCTGAGTCAAGTAAAACCTGCTCCTTGAAACATTTATTCTTGGCTTAGTACTTGTAATAAGTGATGACACACTCAGGTATCGTTTTAGCTCTAGAATAGATACGCGACTGTGAATTTGGTTACCCTACTATCACACCAAACTAGTTCTCACTACGTTCTCGAAAACGGGCTTCAAACGTACTTAGAACCGTCTGGGGTCTATTTACAAACGTCATCGAACGTACTCGAACGGATAGGTCCTCTAGAACTTAGAACATGCTCAAAATGTTCTCGTGGTTGTCACGTTCTACAATTACAACGGGTGACAACGTACTAACGACTAGTTGGATGTACTATGAACGGAACCGTCGTACTTCAATCCTACTAGGGACGTTTTAACAACGAGTTGAACTGTCTGAGGACGTATTGAGAACGAGGTAGAACTAATTGCAAACGGGTTTAAACTGATTAAGAACGTATTGAAGACTCCTTATGAACGAGTTATCAAAAATATAGCTATTACAACAAACAAGTTGCCACTGCATTCTTCAAAACTGATTTTAAACTGTGTGCACACGGAATGAACATAGCTGCAACTTTCTAAGGTCTGTTTACGAACTTCATGAACGTTCTCAGACGGGAAGGTGATTTTAGAATTTTGAAATGAATCGAAATTCGATGGCGACCATACCGTTCTGTAATCAGATCGTGTGACAACGTACTTCAAACGAGATGACCTACTAGACCAGGTACGTAATTGCTGTACTTCAAGACTACTAGGGACGCGTTATACAACGTTGTGCAATCGCATATCGATTGCAATACGTGTGCACACCGACATGGTGCGATCTGAACGAACTGCGAATGAGATGGACGTTTTGAAGACTGTTTATGAACGAAATAGCTAATTATTTTAAACATATTTCCCGACCACAGCCAGATTTAGCCCGTTTTACCACTTTTTCGTAGAACTTGAAAGAACGGTTGAGAACTAGTTTGGTGTGATTGGGGCCGTATGTGTTTATTGTTCGCCTTTTGGTATACTGTCCAATTACGATTGTAATTCAATTCTACATGTTCCAATGGAGTTTTCTACGGTGCTACACCTCATGCACAAGTTACACCAACATCTTCGCTGTGGTAGCAGTCATGAGATCCTATTCCATTGTGTCTACAGGAGAATAAAGATTCCTCAGTCCCCGCACAAGCCAAATCATCTAACCATATATTTCCTGTACCACCTCCAACCGTTCTATAACTTGCCCTAGCAAAGCTCAAACCTAAAAATTACAAGAATCCAATCCAAAAGTATTAAATGGGCAACAAGGCCTGTAGATAGAAAACTCGAAAATTTTTACTTAATTGAGCTATCAGGGCAAATATTTGGCTCAACATCTTCTTTGACATACCTATTTTCTTAAAATGTATGGATAAACTATACAGGGTGGTCCAAAAAAGGTGAACCCTTGCAACCGGCTATATTTCCCTTATTACCTGCAGGAATCCTTTCATAGTTTCACATGTTGAAGAGGAAGGTCTAAAATTTTTGTTGGTACTATACATTTTTCTTAGTATTGAAATTTGCAGAAATTATAAGCCCTAACAAAACATCACTGAAAATGGGTAAAATGTGAACTTCAATATCTGCGATTCTTTAACCCTTCAACAATCTTCCCATGGAAATCTTTTAAGCCGACGTCTGGGAAACCTAATGTTTTCTGACTTTGTTTGGTTTTGAATCCCAAACAATATGATGTAAAAATTAGCATCCTACCTCTGTTAGTTGCAAAGTTATTGTGATCAAAAGAAATGTTCAATGTTTCCAAAGACGAGAACATCTTCCAGTGAAATCGCAAGATAACCCTATATGGTCTTAAAATGTCAATATCTTCATTAATCATGGACCAATTCTAATGAAATATGGCTCAAATCACTGAATATTAGATTTCCTTTTCATTTTTGTTAGATTTTATATAAAGGGCTTCTCAGATTTTGGGTCACAAGGGGTAACTTTGCCCCTCTACCCGTTTGAGTAGGTAACATGCCTCTAAACTGTTGAATGGTTAAAACAGCTTCAAAATGGTCAATAAAAGTGTGAAATGTGTTTTCTGCTCAAATAGTGTCCCATTTGTCATATGGTAGGGTTTAAACCTATAATCTCTCACTGAAAGCTTTTTTAAGATCAACTAATGTGTATCAACAATTTCCGTCAATCACATCGGTAAAATTTTGCACAAAATCTAATTTGAAGCATGTTTGTTCAAGTCTTGTCATTTCTTCAAAATTCAAGACTGAGAATAAATTATGGTGTCAACAAAAATTTTAGACCTTTCTCTACAAGATGTGATAATATGAGCAAATTCATGCATGTATTAAGGAAAATATAGCCTGTTGCAAGGGTTCACTTTTTTTGGACCACCCTGTACATTTCAACATTAAGCAGTGTAAATTCAGTTCAAAGCTTCTATTCTATAAAGGGAGTCCTACTTATAGATTTTGAAGATCCCACACGATTCAGGTTAAGAAGGACATCATCTGAAATGATGTTCATCCAGGGGGTTTCTTTTGAGATAATAAAAATATATGTTGGTCTTGATGAAATATCCATACTTTAATATATTTTGACATTGGTCCATGATCGTTGAATGACCCCGCTGCACTAATTGTTGCACCTTTAAATGATCACGCGTCCCTTTTCAAACCATGCCCACATTTTAAAAAATATAGGTTCTACTTATAAACATCTTAATGCCATACCCCGGGTGTAATATTTTCAAAGTCACTGCATATATGCAACAAGATGGCTTACTTTAAAGTAGCAGATCTAGATTTTATACGATATTTTTCCCAATTTTTTGGTAAAACACTTTGATACCAAGTGACATAAATTATATTTATGTTTATTACACCCCTTAGCAAAAGCGCATGGATTTTTTCCATGCAAAGCACATGCAAAATCCATGCAATCAGAAAAAATCCATGCGAGTCCATGCAATTCGCTTGGAAAGAGAAGGCTGAACAGAAAACTCATGCACTTATCCATGCAATGCCCATGCAAAGTCCATGCGAATGAAACTTTAAAAATTCCCCAAAATATATTTCCATGCAATCACCATGCAATTCACATGCAGCATGCAACTACCATGCAAAGTCCATGCAACTGTTTTATTATAGAAAACTAAAATCCATGCAAGTACCATGCAATTTTGCATGTATGCGCATGGACTACTGAAATCCATGCAAGAACCATGCAATTTGAACTGAATCCTAATTCCAAAACGAGGCTCTTGCAGCCTCTCTTTCAATCAAAGCTGGCTTAGCCATTTTGGTTTTGGTAAGTCTTCACAAAATCCTATAACATCGGCCCTGATGCAGTTTTACTTTATTTGATTTTGATGTCAACTTTACCATTAGGTATTAGTTGTGCATTTGTTCCAGTTTCACCATCATTGTTCATTTAGTTATCCATCTTCTTAAGCTTCAAATTTCTTTTCAATATATCCATTGAATCTTTCTACCTTTTGTGCTTTAAATTGCCTGTTTGTTTTGATCTTTTCACCTAGAATTCATTCTAATCTGAATCATGATGGCATTATATCCTGGGCTGTAATTCAATATTGGTCAGTTTATTTTTATAGGTTTTACATAGGACATATACATTCATAAACTCCTTGGAGACTGGAAACTTTTTGGAAAAATGAAGAAAATAAAAATGTTATTTGTAAAATAATCTAGAAGCAAGAGAAGGAAGCAAGGCCCAATAAATTATATAGACCCATATTTTATGGGGTTTTTTCTTAAAAAAATTGAATATGCAAAAGAGTGTCATTGTGACATCATAATTCAAGATGGGCGATTTGAACTTTTTACAAGACAGAATTATTTTAGCATTTTTTGTTTAAAACTTCAATTTAAAAATCTGAGCAGAACTACTTGTATAGATCTTTAATGCTGATCATTCTGTGATATTTGTACTATAGCATAACTCCTACAAAATACTTTTAAAGCGCTTAGACAGAAAATTCCAGGAAAATCCCCATGGCGATTTAACATGGGATTTTTGTTTTTTGTAATTTTTTGCAATTCGTTATGCTTTGGACCTTCTGTATCTTCATAACTATTATTCTCTGATCACAGTGCTTCAAAATTCAGAATATCTTTGCATTCTCTCCCCCTGCGATAAGAAGTTAGCATCTCGCCAATTAAGGATTAGGTGAACTATGTGAACTAACTGTAAATTAAGTTTAAAATCTGACCAATCAGAATGTGCTCTTGGTGTAAATTGGATGTATACTAAAGTGTAAACTGAGTGTAAACTTAGGTGTAAATTAGCTTATTTGCATGTGAAATTGGTCACCTATTTACTGGGTGTAAAGTAAGTGTAAACTGAGTGTAAACTTAAGTGAAAACTAAGTGCGAACTGGATGTAAAGTACTTGGGTCAGTCGAAAAGTTCTGTTTATTTATCTCTAACTTTGTCATTTTGAGGGTTTACTTCTTGATATTTGGTACAACTATAGAACATATATTGATGCAACTTTTGGCTAAATATTGTTTCTCAACTATGATTGGTTATTGAATTATGGTTGCTATAGTAACAGAATTGCGGGGTACACGGTTCAGCTAAAAAACGTCATATTTTTAATGTCATATTAATTTCATTTGGCATCAATTCATTGAACAGTTTTTCATGTTAAATTATCAGATTGTGCAAATTGACAGGTTTTGATGCCAATTCTATTGTCTTGATGACATCACAGTCAAGGAAATATTCAATTGTGACAGTTTTCAGCTGACACAGATGATTTTCAGGATGAAAAGATGAAAAAGTGAAAAAGGGATTTTGAGAAAAAAATCATGTCAAATATTGATTCTCCTAGCAAGTTGTTAAAGTGGAAGCAAAGAAACTTGATACAGTGTATGGTAGAAAACAGGAAAACACTACAAGAGACATATTCACTTGTTAAAGGTGCTTTTGGACGGGATGCTCCAAGATATAATACTGTCCGTAGATGGTACAATGACTTCTTGTCTGGAAAAAGGGATAAACTGTCTGATTCAGCACGGACTGGCCGGCCCCAGAGTTCTGTGAATGAGGACAATGCAAAGAAAATACAAGAGTTGATTGAGCAAGATAGGCACATTTCACTGGATGAGATTAGTTCCATTCTGAATATATCTCATGGCTCTTGTCATACGATCATCACTAAAGTATTGAAAAAGCGTTACGTAGCCTCAAAATGGGTTCCAAGATTCCTCACTCAAGAACAGAAGCAAGAAAGAATTGATGTCTCGAGGCAGTTTCTTGATGAATATGAACGCCACAAAGAAGCTTGGTTATTCAACATAATCACAGAGGATGAAGTATGGATCTACAATTTTGAGCCAAAGAGCAAGAGGGAGTCTATGGGGTGGTTCGCTAAGGACTCACCGAAGTGGAGGAAGCCAAAGTTCCTGAGGACAACAACCCAGAAAACCCTGTACCTGATTTTCTTCGACGTCCAAGGTGTTCTCGTTCAACATGCTGTGGAACCAGGAAGCACTATCACAGGAGAATATTTTGCTAGGGTAAGCATAGACATCCTTTATATAATTGTGATTAATAAATCAAAAGATAGTATAAATAGGCAATAGAACTGAACATGGAAGACACCCACCCTTTATCTACGAAGAGAGTTACTTTGATTCCAGATCATTGCGTAGGAAGGCACGTAGGGCCATACGTCAGAAGAGACGGCGTGGGTTTAAGCCACACTTCCATATGGACAATGCTCGTCCCCATACAAGTAATGTTGCCAAGACTGCCTTAGAAGACCTCCAATGGAGCAGGATTCCACAAGCACCATACTCACCAGACACATCTCCATGTGACTTTTACCTCTTCAGCAATCTAAAGAGGGGTCTTCGGGGGATCCGGTTTGATTCCAATGAGGCTCTGCAGGCAGCAGTGCGCAAACGTTTAAATGAATTGTCGGCTGGGGGTTTCAAAGGGGTCTTCAGAGACTGGGTAGAAAGGCACCGAAAGGTCATTGCTGCAGGAGGCGACTATTTTGAAGGCTAAATAACTAAATTAAACTTAGATATGACATCGGGAACTTAGTTAGAAAGGAGTTTTTAAATATTGAGACAGTTTAAAGTATATTTCATGTAATATAACAGTGTATGAAAATCAATAAAATTGGGTTGAACCGAGTATATCGCCCTTCTGTTACCATGGCAACCATAATCCAGTAACCAATGATAGTTGAGATACAATGTTTAGTCAAAATTTGCACAAATGTATGTTCTATAGATGTACCAAATATCAAGAAATAATTCCTCAAAATGATAAAGTTAGAGATAAATAAACAGAACTTTTTGACTGACCCAAGTAGATGTAAACTTAAGCGTAAAGTGGGTGTATACTAAGGTGTAAACTGAGTGTAAATTAAAGTATAAATTAGCTCATTTGCATATGAAATTGGTCACCTATTTACTGGGTGTAAAGTAAATATAAACTGAGTGTAAATTGTAGGTGTGAAGCCTTTGTAAATTTTGATATGGGATAGAAAAACGAGTCAATGCAAACATTTTAAAAGATTTTCCATTAATTTAAATTTCAATTCATTTTATTTTTATTTTTTTGAGAATCACATCCTCCTAACAATTCATTTTAGATACATTTTTGCAAGGCAGAGATGGTCTGAGTATCAGAATGGTGGGTCCCCTTGTTAGATTATTGATCCGCCAGTAACATGCAGATTCTCGTTGGCTACACATGCACACCAAAATGGGTTTGTGTAAAAAAGCGGGTGACCACTGACCAGGTGTGACCAGGTACCAAACGTTCTTGGCAGGGTGACCAACTTTTAAAGTTGCACATTTTCCCCTTGTATACATTATTATTATATAATTATTCATAGGCGTAGCCAGGGGGGATGTGATGTGATGGGTGCAATGTTCCCTGCTAGGAACGTTAGGTACCCGGTTACCTGGTCATTTGGTTTTTATAGGGCTTACATGTAGGCCTCCTAGACTTCCACCAATGCGAACATCAGTTCTCTCCTGGCGAACTACATTCCTTGGGACTCGAGTCACTTATATACGAATTGTATATTACGGGCAGATCAGCAGATGCATGGATGTAGCATGAACCATACAAGTCCATGCAAAATTGCATGGGGGATTGCATGGTTTTCGTTAAAACCCATGCAGATGCATTCAATTTTGCATGTGGATTAACGTGCTTTGCATGGATTTGAATGGATGCCGCATGGGCTTTGCATGGATTTGAATGGATTTTGCATGGACTTTGCATGGATTTGAATGGATGTTGCATGGATCATGCGAGTCCATGCAATATTGCATGTGGATTGCATGGTTTTCATATAAATCCATGCAGATGCATGCAATTTTGCATGGACATTGCATGGAACTTATTAACAATATTTCTCGCAGCCTGCATGGATTTTGCATGTGGATTAACGTGCTTTGCATGGATTTGAATGGATGTCGCATGGACTTTGCATGGATTTGAATGGATGTTGCATGGACTTTGCATGGATTTGAATGGATGTTGCATGTTTTTTTAGATGAGTTAAAATTCTGCTGCATGTGTTTTGCATGGGTATTGCATGGAAAAATCGCATGGACTTTGCATGCATGCGGTTTTGCTAAGGGACGCACGTGTTTACCAAAGCTTTGTTGCACAAAACAAGCAAAACATCTGTTTTGCCTGTTATTAATATAAATTTGTTAAAATTTATTAATAATATTACGTAACATATATAATTTATATATATATATAATATTACATAACAGTGTGTGCAAGTTTGGATTTTTTTTATATTCCGGGTACGTAATAGTTAAATGATACTAGATACAGTAACAAGATTACAAGCTGGTAACAAATCATACCTAATTGTCTGCAGGCAACCTTTGCATCGTTGCTATCAAACCCATCGTTACAAACGGTGCCCCAACGACCATTGTAAAATACTTCAAGTCTCCTCGATCCTGTCGACAAGCGAATAGTCCGTTCTGCAAACATGAAAAACATTTCGGTGCCATTTTAAAATGTAAATGAAACAAGTCTGTCTATCAACTAACCATCGTTTATTGCCCTTGGTCAATATGATATTTTCCTGGGCCAATATTATATTTTCCATCGGAATAAAATTAATATTTTATCCCTCCTATTAAAGAGAGAATCAGGCTAGTGAGCAAGCTAAACAAAAAATGTTTCAATTTTAAATTGTTTTTGGCTCATATCATTCCTTGTCAGGTCTATTTTCCAAAAATACCCAAATGTATTTCTTTATTCAACGAAGATTAAAGATTTTTACAATAATGTATTTTTCTATATTTATGGTTACCATTTTTATAATTTTGGAGAATGTGAACATTCTCCCCCCCATTTTTGGATTTTAAAGATCCTGAATAACATTACCAATTTATAACATATCGGTTATCTTTTGGGAGATATGATTGGTAGGCCAATTGTACATTTTGCTTACAACTATTCTGCCTTTAAATAACCTCTTTTTATGTAACGAATTCAAAACGTTTTTTTCTGGTTTGATGATCATTTAAGAATCGGAACAAAAACCTCGATTCTATGATTTACAGCAAATATACGCCCTTATATTAATTATGGCCATTGCTAAATACCTTAATCTCTATGCAATTTGGGTCTTTTAACAATACACAATACAATTTTTCGTCAGATAGAAGTATATTGCGCCATAAGTCATATTGAAATATAATAGAAGCGACTACTTATATGAGTTTTTCTCTTATATATCTACAAAATCAAATAACTGTATCACAGCCAGAAGCATTTATCGCAAAATTGATTTTGCGAAAACTGTGAAAAGAAACATTAGAGACTAAAGTGTTTATGCCTACCTGCTGATCCTGCTGATCCTGCAGTTCCCTTTTGACCTTTTTGACCCTTTGGACCCGTACTGCCTGTTGATCCTTGAGTTCCAGGCACTCCTCGTTGACCAACTGATCCTTTTTCTCCTTTGCCTCCAATTCTCCCTTGAATTCCCACAGGTCCTCGTTGACCTGCTTCTCCCTTTACCCCAGGCACACCCATTTCTCCCTTTTGTCCTCGCAGACCAGTTTCTCCTCGTTGGCCAGTTGATCCCTTTTCTCCTCTACTTCCAATTCTCCCTCGAATTCCCGTAAATCCTCGTGGTCCTGTTGCTCCCTTTACCCCGGGTACACCCATTTCTCCCTTTTGTCCTCGCAGACCAGTTTCTCCTCGTTGGCCAGTTGATCCCTTTTCTCCTCTACTTCCAATTCTCCCTCGAATTCCCGTAAATCCTCGTGGTCCTGTTGCTCCCTTTACCCCGGGTACACCAATTTCTCCTTTTTGTCCTCGCAGACCAGTTCCTCCTCGTTGGCCTGTTGAACCTTTGTCTCCTTTACTTCCAATTCTCCCTCGAATTCCTATGGGTCCTTGTAGACCCTTTGCTCCCTTTACCCCGGGTACACCAATTTCTCCTTTTTGTCCTCGCGGTCCAATTTCTCCCATTTGCCCCTGTGGACCATTTTCCCCCTTTTGTGCTCGCGGACCAATGTCTCCTTTTTGCCCTTGTTGGCCAGTTGATCCATTTTCACCAGGAACGCCGATTTCACCCTTTTGCCCCTGTGAGCCAATTTGTCCCTTTCTCCCTGTCGGTCCAGTATCTCCTTTGACGCCCTTTGCACCTTCGGGTCCAGTAATTCCTGCAATGCCTGGTGATCCCTGAGCACCTATTACTCCTTTTTGACCTGGTGGACCTCTGGCTCCAGGCATACCATGCTCTCCTTTCTGGCCTATGCCACCTTTAGTTCCATTTAGACCAGGTATACCACGATCTCCTTTCTGTCCCATGTCACCTTTAGTTCCATTTAGACCAGGTATACCGTGATCTCCTTTCTGGCCTATGCCACCTTTAGTTCCATTTAGACCAGGTATACCACGATCTCCTTTCTGTCCCATGCCACCTTTAGTTCCAGTTAGACCAGGTATACCACGATCTCCCTTCTGTCCCATGTCACCTTTAGTTCCATTGAGACCAGATATACCATGATCTCCTTTCTGTCCCATGTCACCTTTAGTTCCATTTAGACCAGGTATACCACGATCTCCTTTCTGTCCCATGTCACCTTTAGTTGCATTTAGACCAGGTATACCACGATCTCCTTTCTGTCCCATGTCACCTTTAGTCCCGTTTAGACCAGGTGTGCCATCATCTCCTTTCTGACCTCTTGGTCCTAAGTCACCTTTCTCTCCAACTATTCTTGTATAATTATTCTTTATTGTATCCATCTGTAAAAAACGAAAGAAGTGAGTGAATCAGACTGCACCAATTAAATAGGAAAACTGCTCAGAAAAGTTTGACTGGACATATACGAATGTAGCAACTCGACTTTGCCAATAAATCTTGATCATTTTCAGATCGAGGTTGGGCTTTTATGGTTTTATTTTATGTCACTTATATTTCTCTCCTTCATTATCTCATTACATGCCTGCATCTGAATAGTCTGCTTATCTGGTAAAATATACGACTCAAAATAGTTAAGGACCAGTCTTTTTCCTCATAGGTTCACATGTTAAACCCCATGTTTGTTTGAACTTCATATTCTAAGCCCGAATGTAAAGAAAAAAACTGATTATGTAAATGATAATGTACCTTGACTCTATTCTCTTTATTTCAGAAAATTGGTGTTTAACATGTAAACAGGAAAAAACTGGTCCTTATTTCTTTGAGTAGTATATATTCCAGTGAATATTATAATATTCCAATTTGTATAATAATTATGCATCTTAAAGTTTATACAAGGGGTGATCAACAAATAACGCAAAAAGAGCCCTATCTCAGAAACGAATAGGAGTTTGAACACTAAACTCGACAAAGTACATCACAAAACACTCATAAATATTTCCAGCATTTCAGGCATAAACATTGATTTATGCCAAAGTTATTGTTACCATAGTAACCCGTGGTATGTTTACCTGAAGCAGGTCTTAAATATTAAGCAACAATAAGGATTAAGCATCTGGGAACCTAAGAAGTCATGGGTACCTGAAGCACCTGAAATATATAATGTCACAATTTTTTAATAATAATTATTTTTCATGCTCATAACTAATGCCCATTTCATGTTAAATAGTGACAGTTTTATCAACCATATTCAACTGTTCTACATCTTTAATAATCTCTACTATGCGTGCTGCTGCTCAGCACCCAGCAGATGATTCTTGGCTTTTCAGAAATCGTTCTGTACTGTACCATCTGTAGACATTGCCGAGTCCATTTTTGTCAACAATTGACTTCTTAAGCAGAGTTTTTTTGCAGTGAAATTTTATTCAAAATACAGCATTACGTATTTCTATGGAGATCTGAAGTTTCTAATTCAACCATTTTTTCGGCTTTGTATAAAAAACCTCCTACCTCATACCCACCTACCCACGAACGTGGGACATGATACAGTCTTTGAAGGGTTCAATTCTAAAGATCTTAGTTTATTAATCTTAGTTTATGATGAATTATAGATGCATTTGTAACGACTCTTGATAGCAAGTTGCTACAACATCCCAGCTGGGTTGGATTCCCACTCGGGGCATCGAATTTAGCACACTTTCTTTCAATTTCTTTAGCTGGCGTGTTACCTATGCTCGCGGTCGTAAGTTATTTATTCCCCTGGGGTGCCCTCGGGTCATTACACATTAAAATGCATCCATATGCCTTTATTTATGGATCTGTCATCTGTCTAGTCATAAAATAAAGCCGGAATTGTAGGAATGTTAATAATTTGAGCTATTTTGAGATTTAATAATCTTTAAAATTGAACCCTTCAATGACTGTATCATGTTCCACGTAGGTGGGTAGGTGGGTATGAGGTAGGAGGTTTTTTATACGAAGCCATTTTTTCAGTATGGCTGACTTCGACTTTGATTTCCTCAATGCCCGTGTTTTCTGTCATCCTATCGTTGGGTATCGACATGTCTCATGATAAACCTATTGTTGGGTGTGTATAATGACATCAGGATTGAAAGTAGAACACATCAATTAACAGAAACTTTTCAGAATTGATTTACACCCAAATAACATCAAATCTGTATGACTTAACGGTGTCTTTCAAACTCATTTTGGACAGACGTTCGATACCTTATTGTTATGATTCACGGCTTGCTTCAGGTACCCATACAACGGGTTGCTATGGCAGACGTTTCTCCGACATTAGGCAATATTTGTGCTTCAGATTTTGGAAAAATAATGATGAGATAGGGAACTATTTGCGTTATTTGTTGATCGCCCCTTGTACTCATTTTCCCTTTTTATTTACTTCAGCACACTATTTAAGGAAATGCTCAGGCTACCTGTTTGTGAAATTCTTCAGTACGAATCATATTTTGAACACCAAAGTATTAACACACTGACCTTATGTGTAACTTTTTACTTTCTAGAACTTTTAGTTTGAAAACTCCATATTTGCAAAAGGGCTCTCTGAGAAATCTAAAATATCTCGACTGACCAAAATCCTGATCGATTTCGGATTGTTTAAACTCTATGTCATAAGGGTGATAAGAAAAATAAATAAATTGATATTGGATAATTAAATGTTACCTCGATATGCAAGCGTTTGACCTCCTCATCCTTTCTTTGCATTCTCTCTTGCATCAGTGTCATTGAAACATTGCTTTTATCCATTTTTTCCTGCATCGTTGTCATTTTCTCCTGCATCGTTGTCATTTTCTCCTGCATCGTTGTCCTTTCATCATGCATTTCTCTCATAAAATCATCATTTAGTTGTAATTTTTCTTGCACTTTTTTCAACAAATTATCACAGGTTGATGTCAAGGCCCGTGAAGTCAAACCAGGTGATAGCCTCGCACAGAGTGAGGATGATGATGATGACGTAGATTGACAATGTGACAATGCAATCTTAACGGCAATAACAATCAGCAAAATTGTATGTTTCGACATTTTAACAGTCTTGGAAGATAGTGTTAGAATATAATCTTAAGGATTAATTTGTTTATAAGATGTTTTGTAATATGATTCTTTGGCGTAAGCTTATCGTCATTTGATCTATTATGATCGCAGATCTTTTCCCTAAAAACAACCTCCATAAACAGTTGAAGGAAGATTTTTACAACAAACGTGATGTTTTAATTAAAAATATTTGGTTATGGTTTCGGTTATGAATAAATATAATTTTACTTGTAACTTCAAGGGATAAATTATATGATTCCACTATTAGAAAGCCTTTGGGTTATGAAAATCATGGTTTTCAAAACATCACAAAATTGCAAATATTGTCGAGTTGCGAAATATCAGATTGTAATTTATCAAGACTGTGAAATAAGATTAAATGTTCACAGTACAGGCTGCATGGAATCAAAGACGAATTTCTTATTTATTACGTCCAACTAATTTATTAAGGCATTGATGCTTCTAGACATACTATGCTAGCATATCATCTCTTGATACACCAATTGATAAACGACACATGTACACACCGTCCTGTAGATATTGTCAGATGTAATGAGGGTTTATTAGAAGTGTTTCAGTTGTGGCAGTAATGTCAACCCTTGGTAGTCTTGAGGAGAATAAACACCAACGTGTAATCCCTCCAATTAGTCCCTGATGACTCTAAGCCACATTTCATTACAATCATTAGTGTTAAGAGATGCTATTCTAAATAACTCTGGATAAATATATATTACATTTACCTAAATGCAGGCAAGGGGGTGAGGTGTCAAATGACCCCAGTAGTTTTGTCTCTTTTATTTCCAAACCCGAATTTTATCTAATTAAATTTGACCTCCAAAAATGATTGGTCGTAGGTTTGCTATTGCGATGATGATAAAACATTCCCAGCAACTTTTGAACTAGCTTTTAATTTGCTTCATTAATTTCAGATATTTCTCTGATGTAGAAAATGTCTTGCCTGCATTATGGCCCACAAGTCTTCATTGTTTAAATTAAGTCTCCAAATAAATATGAATATTAAATACAATATACAATCCGTGTATAAGCTGCTAATGTTGTTAAAGTTGTGTACTAGATCTAAGATGCTATCATCCAAAAGTAGCATTTGTAATTGAAATGATACAGAAATTTTTCCATTATTATAACACAGATACAATATATCACGCACAGTTCAAGGACATGGGACATTTGCAGCATGGTCAAACACTTTGAGATCATTGTTGAATCGTGTCCCAGGTGCACATGGCATGGAGATGAATGTGCCGTGGTTACACATCAAGTATCTCGAGCAATCGGCGGGATCTCTAAACATATCACCAGCAACACACGGACCACCTGGAAAGTATCATTACGAGATAAACTAGCATAAGCTAAAATGTCTCCACGAAAGTAAATGTACGACAGCATGTTATTTTAACACCTAATTTGATTTAAGAAGTCAAACGTTGATAAACATTTAATGTATTAAAGGGAATTATATTGTGAGACGGGTTCTAATCTTACGACTGATCAGATAACATCGATGGTAGTAATGATAAAATATGCACTCGATTCTTGCATAAGTTGGGCAACCGGTGCATGTTTATGTTTAGATTTTCCCTGATGAAGGAGTTCGGATTTTACATTAAATTGATGTTTTTGTAAATCACCAATTATGTTATACACGTGATAATGTGATTCAAAAGTGTCCTCTGTTTGCCAAACTTGTAAAAAGGAGTGTACAAACACTCAAAGATTCGTGTGGAATAATTACACGTGAAATAACATGTGTTATTACACTTGTAAATACATTCAAAAGACGCGCGTCGAAGGCTAGAGTTAATGTCAGGTGTACAGAAAAGGGATATTTCAGACGTTCGCTCAATCAACCAATGATTCATGCCATCAAAAATGGCCTTACATTCACCAAGTCTTATCTTCGAACAATTGAATATATTGATATTGTTTCAACAGGGGAGGGTTGCAATTTGGCGGCACATATCATTTACATATCGCTGGATATTATTTTTCCTCGTCGGTTGTTTTTGTTTTGATTTGTGTGTGGTATCATACCTGCCATAATCAAGGCTTGTTCATCATTAGCTGTCGTTGTAGGATCCCTTGACGGTGGACCTAAACATTGTATAATATCAAGTGATATTGAATTTGGAAAATATAGAAAATAAAACTTTAGTCATATTTCTTTATTTTTCTTTACTTGTATATGGCATTTTCAACTACATACTTTAATAGAAAAAATTAAAATACTATATTTTACATACTTGAAGCTTCTATAGCATTTGTTGACGTAGCAGGATTATCTGATGGGAGACCTAAAAAGTAATTCATTATCCAGTCATAATAGAGTTCTTACAGGGTGATACTTTAAACAATACAACACATTTATGTAAACGGGTTGTAATAAACCTTTGTTCATATAGTGAACTACACAGAGAACTTAACACAAGTGACATCTAGACTATACTTGTCAAGACTAAAATGTTTCATACATTCATTTTTTATCATGCTGTACGTTCATCAATGTCAATAATATGTTTGACGTCATTATATCATTGGCAGATTTGTTTGTATATTTTTAATTTGTACTGTAGTACTGTATCTATGTATTTCACTATTCAATTAAAAAGTGTTAAAGTGTATCTTCCCTTTATAGTAGCTATTTGAAGGGTTGTTGACATGTAAAATATAGGGCTGTGAAAATTATATATTTGAGGCTGATTGATATATTCTATAGCAGGATCCTCCGACGGTGTACCTTAAAAAATTATTACGCAATAAATTAAAGTAAATATAAGGTTAAAGAATAACAGTTTTGAAAAGTGGGACGTCCACACAAACTCGTATACAAAACATATGCAGCCCATAATTGTATCCGATCCGGATTGCTAAAATATACTGCCACCAAATGTCATATTCATAGCATCGGGCTTAAATTTTAGTATTCTCATCTTTACCTGGATTTAATTTGATCGTTAGATAGCCTTTAAGTTACAACTCTGGACAGACGACAAAAGTTAAGCTTCTTTACACGAAGAATCTCTGATATATCTATTAATTTTGAATAATCTAAGACGTAAGTAATACTTGAATTTTGAGACGGTTAATATCAGCTTTATTAAAACTAGCTATTATAATATAGTGCATTTAAAGTTTCAAAATAGTTATTTTTACGCACAAACAAATGCTCGAGATAGGCGCAAGAACAGCACACGGGTGACGTTTAGTGAATTGCGATCTTTGAGTCCTAACAAAGACCATTATCGTGTATGTAGGTGTGAGGATTAATTATTTGAATGAAATTGTATAACGGAAAGATTCCTGAAACTGGTAAATAAATATTGTATACCTGAACTGTGTCCATCTTTGACTGTTGTAGGAGCTTGATCAACCGTTGAGCAACCTTGAATCAAATTTATTTATACGTATGACCATGGGCTTTCAACTCTAGTTGAAAGCCCATGGTATGACACCTTACATACGTTGGTAAATTAATTAATTTACAGACTGACAATAATGGTATATCGCTACTTGATATCAGTAATTTACATACAAGCTGAATACATCACATTTTTTATATTTGTTCAAAAAGCTCTGCAATACTTAATCTATATGGATAATTAGTAAATCATTTAAAACAGACAATCTGAGATAATTTTAATTGTTCAAATATACTACTTTTGAAATAATCTTATACATTAATATAAAATCTTCATTGAGTTTTGGTATGTCGATTGAGTGTTTTACAATAGACGCCCTAAGGTAAAAAAAAGTCACATGAGGAGGGGAGGGGGGGTGGTCAAGCTATTAAGTTAATTAGTAATTACCCTATGTACAATGCTGCTGATTTAAAAAAAACAATTTAATTTATTTTATCTGTAGCTCCAGCTACTGAGAATTTGAAGACCCAACCTGGTGCCCATAAAAAGACACCCCCTTCCCTTAGGGCTTCTAAAGATAATCATGGGCTTTCAATCATATAGTTGAAAGCGCATGAGGTAATAAACAAAATCATCTTAACATTGCGATGATTTTGACCTTTTACAACTTTTGACAGTAATTAATAATTAAGAAATAACTATGTACTATTTGAATTGAAACTCCAGTCATCGGTTGATTCGCCTGGTCGACAAATCTTGCAATCATCAACAGGTGAGGTTTCATCTTTTTTGTAGCAGAACCCATTGATCAAGCACCTTCCCTCCTAAAGTAACGAACAGAGCATTGTTAAGGTACTGGCGATAAGGTTCTACACATTATTGGACCTCTTTGAAAATGTTTTAGCTAAAGTATAAATCTAAATGGTTAGGGTGTACACTGATATCCTCGTCTTCAAACAAAACGTTAACATTACATCGTGTGATTGTTACCTCAATTATTTGTATTAGGTACAACGTTTCACATGTACCACACGAACAATTACCTTCATGACCCATGCATTGTCAGATGGGGAACAATGTAGACATGTCGAATGAGGAGAATCTTGTCTATCGTTATAGCAGTTGTTGTCAATAAGGCAAGTATTTGACTGAAAATATTTAACTTTTCCTCATTAATATGTGATTGGATTGTTATTCAAACTTTCTCTATAATAAATCACTTTTCTACCCAAAAGGATCTAGGATATTTTGTCAAGTTTATATACAAAAATGGTCATGTTTATTTCTATTAGGAAATTATGCTACCTACCTACGACATTTGGAATTTAAGGAAACCAGTTTTGAGGGTGACCATGTACATCAATCATACGAATCAATCAATTACCTGTTGTATCCATGACGATGTACTGTGATTGGGATCACAGATCATACAACTGAGTCGTCCATTCGTAGCTCCACGTGCGTAACACAAGTCGTCAATGAAGCAGCTTCCGACCTAATGGAATTTCAAATAATGATTGGTGGAACCCGCTTTACTAAGAATGTTTTGTTGGAGTCTTTATAAGATAGATTCTGAAACGTTATATTCTATATGCGAATCGTTCCTCAAATTCTAAAAATTGGTGAAACGTTAAATAAAATCGTTAAGTTGTGACAACTCCGGTTTTCGACTGACAATTACGGTTTAGTCCATAATTGTAGCCCAAGCACCAAGAAATACACAGTATTACCTTAGTCAACCAGGCGTTTTGTGACTCTCCTGCTCTACATTCTTTACAAGTATCTACACTGTGTGTAGTGGTATCATTTACACATCGGCCATCAATGAAACAAGAGCCATCCTAAATAAGAAACACTGTCAAACCTAGACCGTACCTTTTTACTTACATGTAAGACTTGAATCAGGGGTACGTAGACGGTTTACAAATCATTAATACATTTCAGGAATAGTTTTGAGGGCCATAACTAAAAGCTGATTATAAATCCAGCTTTTGATAAAAAAACAGTCCTTGCAAACTAGAAGACTGATTTTAGCCTTTTTTATGGTCGGTGATGAAAAACCTTTTCATATTTGGCGATTTAAAAGTTCATCAAAGTCATAAATTGTTATTAAAGAATAAAATTAAGATAAAAACATTTACAGACATGGATTATGGGATCCTTTATATTATGCTATCAGATAAAAATTTCCGATTGCCAAACTCAAAAAGGGGAGTGTCACCCTTTTTTGCAATTAATTTTGTGTTAAATGTGATCATGTTTATCTCCATTTCTATAACTTACTTGGATCGACCATTTTTGTGTGGATTCTGAAGCGTCACAATACAGACACGATACTGGGGTGGCTTTTGTACCATCAATATAACATCTTCCTTCAATGTAGCAATTACCATCCTAAAATAATCAGGAATCATAAACAAAATAACCATTGCAATTACATGAGATCGAGATATGTTTTTCCTGTTCGAAATGTCGGTATAATTAATCTTAGCTTTCAATTTGTATTTACACTTTTTTCATTTCTCTTACCGTCATCGTCCATGTTGTTTTATCCTTGCTAGAGTCACAAGAAGAACAACTTGCATGTGGTTGTATGAAACCATTCTGTCGACACACTGAATTAATGAAACATGAATTATCCTGAAATAAAAATTAGCAATATAAAAAAATTGTTTCTTATTTTTTGGCAACGATGGTTATTTTTATCAGAACATCTTAAGCTTAAGCCTTTTTGATTTGTAAAAAGCTGCACATAAACATATCATTATACAAAAACTCCAAATATACATGTATATGTAGATCTACAGATCGAGCCCATATTAGGATTGAACAAATATCTATTCTTAAAGATCTGGACACCATCAACGTTTTTGACGGTATAGAAAAGCAAAATATTAGAGAGTTTATGCATACATCTATGCTCCACTCAGTCGCCTTTAAATCTGGTAAACATTTAGCGCATTCTTGGTCAGGATAGCTTTCGTTTTCATTGGCACACCTATGCCCTTCTCCGTGTTTAATGTAGCAAGTTCCATCCTTCATTGTCCATTGCGTTTCAGATACCGAAGTATCACATTGCAGGCAATTTGCATCAAACCTTGCTTCATTGTGATTGAAACAATCTCCATCTATCAAACATGTGTTGCCAACCTGTTTTGAATTAAATAATATTATCAATATCACATATAATATTATGAGTATGAATTGCCTTATTTTGTCATTGTCTTGATTGACTCTTACACGTGGGTCGGCAGCACATCACGAAGCGATATAAACTTGTGTATTGAAGAAGGACGGGCACAATTACATCGTTGTTTCTTTGCTTTATGTCAGGAACGGTTACACACTGTCATGGATGGTATTTTTGAAATACATGTAGCTTTAAAGTACATACTTTTGTCCAAGAAGATGTTGATAATTCAGGTCTACAAACAAGACACGTCTTTCCTGGTTGAGGAAACTCCCCCTCATCATAACATTTGCCATCTATCACACAGATGTTTTCCTAAAGAACAAAAGGTAAATGACAGAAATATATCCAGCCAAACTAATCAAGTACGAGTGTATATAAATTGATATTTCTATTCAAACCATAATTTGTCATCTCAACAAAGGTTTTTAAACATAAGCATAAATGGTGAAACATATCAGACAGTAAAACTGTTTGTGACAGGTTGTATATTGTTATTTTTAAATGCATATATCATACCCATATTTGATGGAAGTTATTCTACGTCAGCTTACATACATAGTAAATGATTATTTCTTTCTCATGATCAGAACTTTGATAGCCATGAATGTGATTAAAATACATATATCTCCCCAAGCATGTTATATTATGGAACAGAGTTCATCGGGTTAACTGGAAACACAGAAACTAAACCTTACTGACATATATTGTTATTTCACTATTCTTACTTTCCAAGTACATTTTCCAGTCTCAGGGCATACGTGGCATTTAGAGTCGTAAACTGTTAACAATAATTCCTGTAGACTGTATAGTATCTTGTTATTGCTAACACTGACGATGTATCCCCGTGGAGCGGCACTTTCTTTTGTCTTCAAACTTCTACGCTTCACCCTGGTATTTGGCAGAGGACAATGTATTTGTTGATAATGTTCGTAGTCTGCCTTGGTTTTTTGTATGTATCCCGAGGGTGTGAAATGCGATCCATTAAACTTAAAACAAACAAAATATTATTCAATCACAATAACTGCAATATCCCTCGATGTTATCTCTAACAGTGTATATGGTAACCATGGTAACCATAATTAATACACAAATCCATGTATTTTGAATGTAAAGCGGCATTAATGATTACATCTGTTACTCAATTACCGTAGTGAACTGGATTCTGCATGTCAAAGATTCGGATTCTAAGAAATTTTCGCCAGCCACAGGTGTCTGTAGGCAAGGTCTTCGTTGAAGGTCACATAAGGCTCGTTGAGGTATATTATATGCCTCTGGTGGAGCAGTTGAATTTATAGTGCAGTCGTCACCTTCCAGTCCTTCATAGCATTCACATTTACCTTTGACAAACATTAAATTCATGATTGAAGAAACAATATGGAGGCATCAAATGAAGTATTTTATACGCTTCTGATGCAGTAGTAAAACTAAAAGTGCAGTTTTTGCATTCTAATCCTTTGTAGATGTATTTTCGACTTTGATCGAGTCATGCGCATCATACATGATAAACATATACTAGTTTCGCAGTCTACCTTTACAAAATGGTATACATTTTAAAAGCAAATACATTATGTTACAAAATGTTTTAAAACCAAGTTTTAAATGCACTTCATCTGCCGACATAATAATAAGAATTATAACATTTATTTGAAATACAACTACGTAGTTATTGTATAAACCTGACTGATATGGTCTATATGCATGATGATAAAGTAGTGTTTACCGTTAATACAAATGCCCTGTAAATTACAGTTACTCGGGCAAAGTGTTTCAACTATATCCGTTGGTGGCCCTGTAAAATTCTTGCTGTCGTCACGTGTCCACAAACTTATGTTGAATCCCATCTCTGTTTTACATTCAGTTTGAATAATATCCAATGCAGTTGGTGCAAATATTGTATCCCCAGATATCTGCATAATAGCGGGCAAATGGTGAGTTTCATCTTTAAAATGAACCATTAGGATATATTGTGGAATCGGGAGTTGCGATTCGATCAACCTAGGATGAATCCTAGGATCAACGTGTACATGGATTTTTCATTAATTTCAAAACATTGAATTGCTATGCGTGCTTTCTATGTATTGTTTTATTGTGACTTTCTTCATTGTCACGGACTCTGTGGCAATGACTAAATTCTAAAGTAAAATATGACTATATCTTATATCCTACCTTAATGTCAATTATACACATGTCCACTGCTTCATCAACATGGACGTTCTGCAGACCAATGCACATAGTTGTCATTCTTGAGGATGCGACCAATTCGTTGCAATATAGTGTAGCACTTTCTTCGGTCCAACCATTTCGCCACTCACCCTCCTTGAGAGAAAATAATTCCATTGTTCTAGAGTATGGTGTTATGAAAACAGAAGGTTCAAGATTTCTAATTTGAGAATAATAGTAAGCTTGGAACTGACCATATAATTAATCAATGGCATTGCAAATGTTTACTTACTAAGGGAGTAACGATCTCGTCTCTAAAGTCGTATGCTGGCGAATCAACATCGAAAGTCGACATTTCATCAAAATCATCTACGAAATCATGGAATGTAGTGCTCCTCTTTTTTCTACAGTTGTCATAATGAATGGTCTGTCGATCACCATCTAATGTATCGCATATGTTGTTTTCTTTGAAAAGCCCACAGTTAATAATATCCGTTCCGCCATTTTTCTCACAGCCACAAGCTACAGTTTCTTGTATAGGATCAAGTTGATAAGTGTCCGGGTTGTAAAGCCCACGCCTATCCTCCTTTGGTACCCTGTAAATGTGAATTATAAAATTATTAAGTCCACGTCAAATACGTTCCTTGGAGTTAAGGTACTTTAGAAATTGTAGCCATGTGCAATAATTTTTTTATTATTCTCCCCTCCATAAGTTTTGAAACCGGAAGTACCCTTTTAAAGTGTGCGCCAAAGTTTAAAACTGCGCAGGCGCACCGCTCTCGCTAACCTATATAAAGAGACTACCAGGTACAGGCTTCAGAGGTAAGCCAGGAAGGTGAACAATCTTCGTTCCGTGTTGATTCCCCGTATAATCGTAACCAAGTAAGTTTCACCATTGAAATTAAAAATTACTATTAGATATACTTTGTAGATGTTATTTATGAAGCTATTTAGTGTATGCATCAATCAAATGGCTCATTTTGAACATATAAAAAGTATTTGTGTTTTGTTTCCCAGGGAATTGTATTCCCATGTAGTACACACATAAATTATAGTGTACATTATTTAGTACTTGAATAGCCTGGTTTACATAATATTGAAGGGCATGCTGATTACATGCACGCCAGTACATGAATGCAGGCCTAATATTGATAAAGCTTGCATACCTAAATAAAAATAAACTCTTCTACTCCCCTAATGTAAACACGGCGGTATACGTAGCCCAATTTATCGGGGACTTTAAATAACATATTAAAGCCTGTTTATGTATGGCGACTTTAAGAGATTAACCATATATTTAATCATATATTATTACTCTAAAGCAGCTGAACAGAATTGAAATCAATACATACTTCCAAGACTCCGCAAATTCTTTCATTTTTACGTCATTGTAAGCCCGTATATAGGGAGTATCATCGTTGTAAACATAAGAGCCATCACGTTTTCTGAAATCATCTCTTATGTTGCCATTTAATGTCCCACAAAGTCCTTCTGTGCTTCTCCAATCATTTAAAGTTGGTGTTATATGTATGGAATTAGTGTTGTAGGTAACTTTAGTCCCAGAGGGTAGTTTTATCTAAAATGATGATGAAGCATTATAAAAACTAACAATCACTTTTAATTCAAGAAAGTTTTGAAAGTGTTATATACACTCGCGTGAATAACCTATACTAGGGAGGGATATCATATTTATCAAGTCGGTAATGAATAATATTAATATCAAAACGTATCATTTAAAAAAACGTATACAAACTATATTACAAGAATTATAGAATGTTCCCAATCAGAGCTTGAACCTAGTCAACTAGTTTCTGCTTTTGTAAAAATCCCAAGTTGGACAGGCTCTACATGTACGTGGCACTTAGACATGGACAGACAGACGGACATACAGACAGACTGACGGACGCACGGACAATTGAGCGACTACATGGACTCAAAAGTTGAGCGCATTTGATAGAAACTAACTCACCGTGTATGTTCTTCCAGCTCGATTGACTGTTAATATGTCATTATCACAGCCCAGTTGTCCAATTCTCACCGACTTGAAAATGGGATTTGGTTGCCCGTTTATAATTTCTTGCTTGTTACCTGCACATTCGTCAATTATGAATACATTTCTTCCTGCTCTTACGGCAATTCCACAGTTGCATGTTGGTCCAGATCTAGTATTGCGGCATTTCTTATAGAACCCGTTTATCTAAAAGTTAAAGTGTGTATTATCACACTATGATATCAACGCTTTTAGTAAAGTGGGATTTGTCGTAGTAAATACGGCTTGTTAACGTTCTAACGTTAACACTAGATATAATATTAGAACTAAAGAACTTAGAATTGTTTATCTATAAAAAAAGAACTAAAGAAAAGCGTTTGTTTTTACGTGTATTGTAAGCTATATATCAATAATAAATTGAAATAGAAAAAATGAAATCAAAATGGACAAAGATAAACACCAGTTAAATTTTTTATTTTTTACTTTAGATTGATATTTTCAACACTTTGCAATCATTGGCAGAGCAATTCTAGTTGATATCAATAAAGATTTATTAAAACATTGGTTTTACTCAATCTCTTTTATTTTCTGTTATCAACATGAAGATGAAAGTCTATTATGTAGCATATTGTTCAGTAATTATTGTTCAGTATTATGATGTTTTTTAACAAATATTTTAATGAGTTGTATTTTAATGAATTGCACCTTCTTGTAAATCTGCCGCACTGATACCATTTATGTGCCACCGTTGTAAATACTGAGATCAAAATAAATCAGTCATTCCAGATAGTAATGCCCCAATCACAATTTTTATGTCGCCGTGTATTTTCTCTTAAGGTGGGACCCGGTCCGTCAGCATACCCAGCACGATACTATTGCTTAATTATTAATGTAGTTTTTCAAGCTCAAAGACACCCATACATACGAATAATTATGATGTAATAATAACACAAATGTATTTAAATATTCATGTACGAAGAAATATTTGCATCTTCGGGCATTTGCAGTTGGGAGATTTAGCGTATTGCATTTGAAATATTTGAGCGCTAGTAACGTCATGGTTTCTATGACATGGGAAAACAATGGCGCTCAAATTTTACGTGCAGCATCATGAAAGGACAACTGAAATAGCTTTTCTCAGCTTGCAGCTACAAAAATGCGGTTTTCTCCTTTGTAAGCCCAACGTAGAGTTCTTGCGATAGTCATTATAAAATAAATGTTAGATAACTGCTAACGGTCATAAATAACGAAATAAAACTAACTGATCAATCGAATTGGCCCCCACGTGATAAGCATAGCCGTAGGCAGCGGGGGTTCGGTGGGTTCGAACGAACCCCCGGTCAGGATTTCCCAAAATATCATTTTGTGGAAAAATGCATATAACCAGAAACATTAAATTACTACATGCTATTTGAAAACTAGGCATAGGTTTATATGACCAGTAAATGAATGGATATTTGTTATGGTGAACACGAGAGCCTTATTTTGTTAAAACACATGTGGATTGTCATAGTGAAGTTACACTTCCCTCAAAACGTTTGGCAACCTTTGGCACGGGGCCGGGGTGAGATTTAATTTTGGGAAGACCCCAGAGCATGAGATTTTACATTTAGAAATAACAATAATTTCGCACAATTAACTTAAAAGCTGCTTCTTCTCGGACAAAATAATCCATCTTGGGCAATAGCTAAATCAGTCCTCTGTAGGAATTTTATTTTAAGCCAGTTCTGGTCCAATACGAAGTTATTGAAAACAATGCAGACGTCCCATACTTCGAATGATTTTATATGCAACATTTACGAATAAATATCTGGAATAGTCGTAATATTGATGAAACAAATGTTCTTTCAAATGTGTACATCTCTGTTTTGTTTTATTTCAATTACAATTTAAAATATTTCTTGGAACAGCCCCTGGGGCTGGCAAGTACCCCAAACCAATTGCAGAAAATTAATTAAAAACGTTGTGAAATGAATCATTTGAAAGCGTATATCATTTATAAATTCAAGCATTTGTTCAAATTTATTCATTCTTTCATTTGTTCAGTATTAATTTATCCATCACTTTTTCAAAGAAAAATCAATCATTGCAAAAAATGATTTTTTCAGATACACTCCACTCATCTAAGAGATTGTATAGAATTCAAATTGTTATCGTTCCATTTTACTTGCTCTCCATTTTCATGTTAATGTCATGATATGTTTAGCGAATAAATTACATAATAAAAAACATTAAAAACTCATATGGTATTAATCTTCAAATAATGAAGGCCTAATTTGTTATCAAGCCGTCTGAACTTAACAAAATACGTTTTATATTCGAACAGTCGCTTGTATATGATTTATATCCACCAAAACGTTTTTATCATCAGTTGCAGTTGATCTGCTCCAGGGGACTTACAGTGCCACTGAGCTCCGGGGACATCCAAAGAAGTATTTTTAACTTTTTAAAACAAAGCATAACGGAGACCCACTAATTTTAATAACAGATGTTTTCATCATTAATACGACTACCCCGGATAGTTTAAAAATCATTCGCGTAAACGTTGTGAAAAATTATCATAGAAGAGCGATCTTTCGGAAGTTATAGGGTGTTTGCGCCTTGCCTTGCATTTGATCCGAACTGGCTTCCAACAAAATTCCTGCAAAATAATGATAAGCCATTGCATGAGGTGATTTATTTTGTCCTAGATGAAGTAGCTTAAGTTAAAGAATAAATTGTGCGAAATAGTTGATATCCCTTGGTAACAAAACATGCTCCAGGGTCTTCCAGAAATCAGACGAAATAATGGTGGATTCGAGGCAAATCAGATTTCAGGATATATATTTAGAAAAAGATTTACCGAAATATATTTTGAGGTAGAAAATTAATTATAAGTTGTCTGACTTTTTTGCACGTTGCCTGTTTATTTTACTTTGTGAACATTAAAGTTATAAAGCTACAAGGTCATTTTTGAAAATCATTTTTACATCCTGTGTTATTTTAATGAGAGAGGTTTCTTGATAAAGCCTATTACTTTCAGACTGCTTAACGTAAATAAAGACATCATTTTGATTGATAAAATTCAAATTCAATTGTCTACTTAACTTAATGAAGGTATTAAAATGAATTATATTTCCCCTCCCAAAGTTTTTTCATAACAAATTATGCATATAAGAATTCAAACTTAAAGATGCTTTAATACATAATCCAATGGGTGAGTTAGTATTGCCAAACTTTTGGAAGGAGTGTAATTGTACAAATTGCACAAAAAGGTTTTTATTTGAGGAACCCAAATGAAGAGGGGGGGGGGGATTTGTGAATTACATGAAAATAGAACCCCTGGTCACCAAATCCTGGCTACGCCACTGATAAGTAACGTCATATACAAAATATAGCTTTGGTTTATTGGTTCCTTAGTAATCACAACGTCACGGCAACCATAGGATTGTAGTGTAAACCAAAACAAAACATTTTGGCATTATGACGTTATGGGCCATGTGGGGACCAGTGAGAGATCACGTGGGGGCCAATAACGTCACAACCAATTCGAATATTGCTTATTAAGCAGCTATAACGATCGTTAGAGTGAAATAGTTTTCGCACTACTGATGAGAAAATATGTCCAAATACATTTATCAAAAAATTATATTGATTCCTTTAGGTTAAAAAATACCATTTCATATCTGCTTGAAGTATATGGCGATGAATGATTGAATTTTTCTAAGTCATATTGTTATAATTCTTTCAAAATATAGTAAAACTAATTATAATCTAAAGCACATAGTTTGTTTGTTCTACATTAACAGCATATGAAAAATATGATTAAGGAATAAATAATGATAGGCCATTCAATATGGTGAAATTCAGCACGAGTTGGACAGAATGTTGTACAAAGCACGAACCGAAGGTGAGTGCATTTGTACTAACATTCTGTCCCCGTTTTAGATTTTATACGGTGTATGCAAACATAGTTAAATAGTTACAGTAGTTACGGAGGGAGTAAAAAAGAACAGCTATCCCCGGACAGAGCCCCAGATGTGCAGCTGAGATGTGACGTCACTCAAAACAATGCAAATTGAGGATTGAATAGAGCATGGTCGTGCATCTATGGAGAATTAGAGAACGTTCTATATTGGCTATGCTGCATTCTGATTGGTTGAGAAATTCGAATAGAGCACGGTCATGTTTGAATGTGATATAAACACTTGTTGAGTCCGGATCACTGTGTACATGGTTACCAACACGTCACATCTAATGTTGCTCAAAATATAATTATGTTTCTCGTCGCACTATTTATATTTGTAAATACGTATTACTCTGTATTTATGTTTAATAAATTCAAAAATGACTTTTGTTCGTTTTATTACTTCGTAGAATTGTATATTCTCTTATCTGTTAAACGTTTTAGATTATCCTTTTTATTGGCACGACTTTCGTCCTAGTTGTTATCACTTTCGCTTTCGTATGAGCTTCGTCTAGTTATATTTTCTTTGCCTTTTTTACATGTTTTATATATGAATTGTTAATTCGTCATGCTAAAATGTTTGATAAGAGATATCTTAACATCCGAGAATTTTTAAAATCGAGTGCAACTGGCCCAATGGCAACACAATCAATGCCCAATGTCGGGAAGAGTGCAATAATGAGTGCGAAGGGGCGTATCCCCAGGCGTGTTATATGTCGCCAGTTGAGTCCCCGGGGTTGAGACAAAATGCTGTATAGGTTTACGGCGACTGATCGTCGCTAATGAAGGCGTTATGAAGGAATGTACTTAGAATTATTATTAAAATGAAAAACATACTGGCAAGTTACGTCTATGAGTCCTTTACAATAGAGTGCCGCTTGAGACTGCAAAAAAAGCCCAACAATCAGAATGCCCGATTTATCAGTATGTCCTATAAGCGCATACTCTTTGATTCTCGAGAAACGTCTTCACGCTCGAATTTCACCTATCTATCACTAGTGGATCGCTTTAAAAGTGATACCATCGAGAAACGTGTTTGGTCAGCTTCACGATGACATTATTCTTTTAGAAATCGACAGAGAAATAGAGAAGAAAAAGATCCAACCAATCAGAAAGCATGTAACGTTTACCTTCAAACAAACATTAAATACTAGTAAACATATAAAATATTCATGAAATAAATAATCTGAAAAATTCAGCTGCTGGTCTTGATGACTTTAAGCCGTTTGTCATAAAGGAGTGTGGTAACGCACTCTTACAG